GCAACTACACCAAGCTTTTGTTTATATATGCCTTAACTCCATGGATGGCAAAATTGTAGGAGAAGATTTTTCAGGCATATTATACTTATAATCCAACTGGAATTTACTTTGTTGTGTGGAGATCAGAATGATGTCTGCAGTGGATCTCTGGAATTCACCCAGGTCAGATTATTTAACCAGGAGCTTTTTTCCTGAAACCTTGATCCCAGAGCATCTCATCCCCACTGGTCAGGGCCAGCTGGGTATCATGACCTGGATTTTCTGCAGACCAGAGTTGGGAAGCCATCTTTGATACTAGCCTAGCAAAGAGCCTCTGTCTTCATCTTCATCCTAGCATCAGCCCATTCACAAGATAGTGTCAGTACTTACAAAACTTAGTCCAGCATGATTCACACACAGTCACCTGAGGCCAGTAGAACTCCTGCCAGATCTCACTAAACAACTTTGGTTCTTTAAATAAAATAAATAAATAAATAAATAAATAAGGCAGTCAAGAGGTCTAACCCTACTCTAATATAGTTAGTTATTATTTCCTCAAGGGTTCATACCTATTATCATGAAAGTTACACATGGGTCCAAGTCTGTTCCACAAGGCCCTCATTTGGACCAGCAGGCCACCAGGCCATGTTCTTTTAATGACACTAGCAGAAGCCAAGAGAACAAGCCCTGCCACATAATCACGTTTCAGATCTTTGCTCACATCACCTCTGCTGCCATCCAAGGCAGATCACATGGCCAAACTCAACTTAGTGGGATGGGAAAGTGTATTCTGCCCACAGGACAGAATATTTGATGAACAATCATCCAAACTAATGGACCCAGCTTTCACTGTACTCCAAAAGCTTGAAGATCATAGTAATGAAAGACATGTCTCAATTCCAGCTATGAGAAACAATTTTGAAGGAAGTAACAAGCATGGAAGCTGTAAGTGATTTTCTTTGGCTCACATCAAAAGTCACAAACAGGGCTGGAAGCAGTGGTTTATGCCTGTAATCCCAGCACTTTGGGGGGCCAAGGCGGGCAGATCACGAGGTCAAGAGATCGAGACCATCCTGGCCAACATGGTGAAACCCTGTCTCTACTAAAAATACAAAAATTAGCTGGATGTGGTGGCGCAAGCCTGTAGTCCCAGCTACTCGGGAGGCTGAGTCAGGAGAATTGCTTGAACCCAGGAGGTGGAGGTTGCAGTGAGCCAAGGTGGAGCCACTGCACCCCAGCCTGGCGACAGAGCAAGACTCTGTCTCCCAAAAAAAAAAAAGAAAAAAAAAATTAGCCAGACATAGTGGCACACACCTGTAGCTACTCTGAAGGCTGAGGGGAGAGAATTACTTGAACCCAGGAGTTTGAGGTTACAGTGATCTATGATTGTGCCATTGTACTTTATAGCCTGGTGACAGAGCAAGATCCTGTCTCAAAACAAAACAGAAACAAAAAGTCACAAATAAAGGTGGAATAAACCTCAGTCTCAAGTTCCTCTCCAGGACCCTATTATTGCATGATATAAGCAGGTTAACTAAGCAACCCTCAACACCTCTGGCAATTTCATTATGTACTCCATGGCCAAGACCACTCTTTTGTGGTTTTGGGGGAGGGTTGTTTGTTTGTTTTTAGTTAATAAAATATGGGTATTGTTAAAGGGTCATGATTAAGAGAGCTGGATTTTGATTCCAGCTCCACCTACCATGGTGGTGGTGGGCAAATTCTCACCTTCACTGAACCTAGGTTTTTTTCATTTATAAAATGTTGATAACTCCTCAGGATTTGTGAAGATTAAAAGGAGGTATTTGTGAAATGCTTAGAGCATAAAGAGTACACAATTAGGAGTTTAAAAATAATTTATTTCCTCACTTCAAAGCTAGGCATAATCGCTCCCTCCACTGAGCTCTTAGGGCACTTACTCAATTCAATTAAGCACTGAGATATTTTAGGAATCATTAGTTCACATCTTTATATAGGCCAGGCAGGTATCATGAACATGTTAAGAAAGCTGTAGCTTCTTTCATATTGGTGCCTTATTTTTTATTTTTTCTGGCAGACCCATACGTTGCATATTAAAAGATGTAGGAATATGCTTCTCTGCACAAAGAAACATTTTCTCCAGAGGTTATATTCAAAATATTTAACAACTGGCCTTCAGCCTGGGCTCCACAGTTGGATGCCTCCTGGCTGTAGTGCTGGAGCCAGGTGCTGCTGGCCTGGGGGCAGGGAGAGGATAGACTGAGGTGAGTGCTCAGGGCAGCAGGGCAGTGCCCAGGGACTTGAGCAATAGTCATTTCCAAACCAATATGGAAGTATTTTTTACCACAATATGCCAGATGAATATAAGCCTTAGGTTAGAAAAAAAAAAAAA